GATGTACGGTCCAGAATCGACGATCCAGGATCGATGATCGAGGATACACGATCGATGACCCAGGACCGACTGTGGAAGAGCGAACCCATATCGATCGGAAACGAGGCTTTGGGTTCCACGGCCGATCAAAGTTCGACAACCACCTAGCGATTGAGGGTCGGAGATCGAGGGTCGAGGATCCAGGGCCGTTCGGACATCGAGGAGCCAGGATCGAGCGGCCACGATCCGTCGAAGTTCGACGCTGGATGGCCGATCGAAGAGCGACGATCGAGAACCGATGTTCCAGGCTTGATCGAAACTCCAGGCTCCAGAATGCCTGGCCGATCGAACATCCATGATCGAGGTTCGATCGAGGCTCGAGGATCGAGGATCGAGGGCCCCAGATACTTCGAGGGTCGAGGATAGAGGTCCGGTCGAACAGCGACCATCGACTTCCCAGGATCCAGTCCCGATCGAAAGTCGCGGCTCGAAAGCCGAACGACGGACGAATACCAGGATGCGGTTTTTCGGTGTAGCTCCGATCTCAACTTTTTAATCCAGGGGGTGGTAGCAAGCGCGATAAGCGGCGCGACCTTCGTCTGGCCAGGTAAAAGGCCAGACCGTTCCCAGATCGCGATCATGATCGCTCAGGCCCCCAGGGCCTGATCCGATGCATGCTGAAAATGAGAGGTGGAACCCGTCGACCGACGACGCCGTGCGCTTTGGGAATGAGCGAGGAGCGCGGCGGAGGTCCTCCACCGAAAGCTCGGGGAGAGGGTCCAAACATTCAAACACAACGCCGACATGGGGGGCCTCAGGCTGGGACTCCGCGTGCCAGATCCGCGAGGATTTCTCGAGCTCGGAGGATAAGAGGGCCCCGGGGTCCGACGCGACGTCACCTCTGGCGCTCAAGGTGGCCGCGGGCGCCCAACCCGAGGCCCCCCGAATGACTCCGTGGGCGTGGCGAGCCCCATTCTCGATGTTGTGGCGGATCCATTCCAACCAGCTCTTATGATCGGCCTGGTCTTGCCCTCAGCCGCAGCCAGGGCCTGGGAGACCATATCGAGCGTCAGCATGGGTTCCCCTTGGACCTCACGACGATCGGAAGGGCTATCGGCGACGATGTCCTGCACGGCCTGGAGGTGGGTGAGGGCGTCTCCATCCCACTGGCCAAACCGAGAAGGGGTGTGCAGAAGCTCTCCGTCTGTCTCCCTCAGGTGCTGCTGTCTGAGCTCCTCGGGGCAGGGCGATGCCGCGCCAATGTGGGAACTCGTGCTCCCCGTTTTTTTGTTCCGCAACCGCCGCGGGCAAAGCGAGGGGTGGAGGAGGGCGCCAATTGCTGGACGGAGGTTTGCACTCCCAGACCGTGCAGCTGGAACCACAAACGATATCTGCTGCGCAGCCATCTCAGTCGCGAGGCCTCTAAAGAAGTGCTGGAAGTACCAGACGTCGACCTGTGAGACGCGTCGACGACATTGGCCCAGTGCAACTGCGGCTGGCGGCCCCTGCTGCCACGGAGCGGCAGGGGGGCCTGACGCGCAGACTCGAGCTCCTGTTCGGCGGCCGTGCCCCATTCACGATGCAACACATCGGGATTGAACTGAGCTTGGTCAGAGTCTCCATTCTCGGCCACAACCAGGGCCCGGGAGGCCATCTTGGACAGAAGCTCCCACTGGGGGGGGGGGGCTCCGGAAGAGGCCCTGGGGGGCGAATCTTGGGAAGGGGGGGGGGGAAGGGGGGGGGGGTCCTGAAAGCGAGGGCGCGGAGGGAGGCGAGCTGGGGGTGAAGTTCCACGGCGACGGGATCATGGGTGGCCAAGCTTGGATCGCAGATTATCTTCGCGCTTCCGATCGCTTGCGCCACTCGCGCCTCAACCAACATATCATCATGCATGTTGGTTCCCGACGTAGACCGACAGGTGCTCATGACGCCTGCAGGATAGCAAACCTCGGCGCCCAGCCTGGCAGGGCCAGAAGAGGAGCACCACATCGAAGGCTCCATGTTGAAATCGCCACCGATGACGTAGGGGACTGCCAGGCTTTTAGCCCTGGGCGCCACGCGCGCCAAGCTATCCCTGTTAGTTTCATTTAAACCGACACAATCCTGGAGGTATACAAAGACAGCCTTAAAGCTGGCCTGGCCAGGAAGGTGGACCAGGACCCCCGTCGCCCGCTGATTTTTCACACATGGCCCCAAATCGGGGTAGTGCAATCCCAGGAAGGACCGAGCCAGGACCCCGACACCCGAAGACCCACTCCAAGCCTCGGCCTTGCGGCGGTCTCCGTAGCTGACGAGCGTGTGCTCCTGGCGCAGCGCGACGCGCGCCGTCGCCAGGGCTAAAAAATTCTTGATAGAACCCCAAGAGGTGCAATTGGCGGTGACGAACTCCATGCCCAACTGGTCTCAGGAAGATTCGACTTGCGACCGATGATGCCCAGGCAGGGCTGGCGCATCCAAAACTGGGCAAGAGGATGCGATCATGGGGTAAGATGGGTCCGTCGCAGCGCTGTTGCCCAGGCGACTTGGCTTTGGGCGGTGGTCCAGACGGCGCCTTGGGCACGCTGGTGCCGACGGCGCCCCGCTGGACTGATTAACGAGCGGCGGCTCGAACATCAGCCGCGGGCTTCGCTGCAGGCGGCGGCGGCTGGCCAGCCGCTGCAGGCATGGCGGCGGCATCTGCAGCTGGGGCTCCACCGCCAGCGCTGGCGGCGGCGGCCTCAGGCTCAGCAGGTGCAGCTTCAAGGACTCCAGCAGCTCCGGGGTCCGCGGCGGCAGCCGTGTCGTCCGTCTTGCGCTTCTTGCCGAACAAGCGGTCCTGCTGGGCTTTGTGGGCTGTCTTGTGCTCCTCGGCCCGTTGCTTGATGTCTCCGAACAGTTTCGTGCAGCAGCTCTTGATATGCTCAGCCATCTGCTCCTTGCGACGGGTCGCCTCCTCACGATCTTGCGGGTATACTTCCACGCCAACTTCCTCCAAGCCGGAAAGCCCTCCATCATCTACCTGCAGACCCGTGAGGCGGCCCTCGAGGATGTCATTGAGGCTGATGGACGGCTCAGCTGGCTGAGGGTCGGTAGCTGGCTTGGCGACCGAGAGGTGCAACTCCGAGATGGCTGCCTTGTACTCCAGGTCGTGCTTATCTAGCTCTGCCAAAGTGGGCTCCAGCTGGCCGCGCAGGTTGGACAACTTCTGCTCCAGAGCATGGACGACCTGGAAATCCTTATCAAGCTTCTTCTCAAGTCGCGCAATCTCTTTGTGCGCGTTGTCCGCTCGCTCCTGCGGCGGCACCGACGGCGCCTTGAGCTTCTCCAGCTCCTTCTGCGCCTACACCAGCATGTCCTGGCTACCCGTGCGCTCGCACAACTGCACGAACTGCTCGAGATCAGACTTGGTGGGCGCAGGGGCGGTTGTCGCAGCAGGCGTGGTGGATGTTCGACCAGCAGCGACTCCAGCAGCGGTGCGACGAAGGGCTGCAGGGTCTCCGCGGGTGGTCCTGCCGTCAGCGGGGGCGTTCCACCACTCCTTGCAATGCTTGCAGTACTGGTAGAACGATCCGTTCTTTTTGCACCCGCAATGGCGGCATGTCCAGCGGGGGCCGCGACCGTTGTCGCCACCACCGCCGCCACGACTGCCGCCCATCGCACGTGCGCCGTAGTGAGTGACCGCGCCAGAAGGCCCGCTGCCACCCAGCCGTTTTGAAGTGTCGGTGACAGCAAGCTCAAACATGTTTTGCGCCAAAGCGGCTCGGAGGAGGAGGAGAAGGAGGAGGAGGAGGAGGAAGAGTAGGAGGGAGGAGGAGGGAGGAGGGAGGATGGAGGATGGATAAGGGAGGAGAAGGAGGAGGAGGAGGAGGAGGAGGAGGAGGAGGAGGAGGAGGAGGAGGAGGAGGAGGAGGGAGGAGGAGTAGGAGGGAGGGAGGGGGGCGATCTCCTCTGCCCTGCCCCGCTTCGCGCCCTCTGTTGCTCGTCGCCGCCCGCCCCGTGCCCAGGACTCCGCTGCCTCGGTGCGAGCGCCGTCGGCGCAGGCTCGTTCGCAACTTGCCGTGGCGTGTCCCGCGTGCGTGCCCCGGCGGTGGACAAACCTCCCTTTAGTAAACCTCCCCGTAGTAAAAACGGCTTGGGACCGAAACCGACGGACCTGGACCCGCAAAAATGGCGGCCGCGACGCCTTCTCGCGAACCGAAAACGGCCAATTTAATCGACGTGTCAGGGTAGGAGGTCCATCCACCTCCGAATGCCCCGCGCTCATGATTTCACACCGCCAGGTGGGAGTGCACGGGGAGGGGAGGGTGGGAGGGGGGAGCGGGCGAGCCACCGCAGCAGGCGAGCCCGCTCCGCTCCGAGGATGGGTGGACACAACAGCACTACGGGGCTGCTCCACTCTTAAGCGGGCGAGGAACGGTGGACAGACCTGCTTCCGCCGTTGGGTACGCCTGCACCCCCTGGCGGCTGCAAAGGTTACTATACCCCTACGGTGGCATTTTGGGGTACGACCTTTCCAGCCGCCCTGGGACACGCGTCTCCGCAGAGGAGGGAAAGGGAGGGAGGAAGGAGAGGGAGGAGCGTTGTTTGGCCCGGCACACGTAGATACCGATCCTGGGCCCAATGTCGACGTCGGCATTGGTTTCTGACCTTGAATCTTGAACGATCGCGGCTTTCCGTTAGCGCGGGTTGTTCGATGTTGGCCGATTCTGGACCACTGGCGGCGTTCAACGTTCTACGTCCGGGCTGGGGTCGCTGCCGCGTCGGCACGACACGAACGTGTTTTACGACTGGGGCGGGCCGACCTGGGCTAGGCCGTGAGGCGCCCTTCATGAAGCACGGCGCCCTTCATGAAGCACACTAGCGTCAGCGGTGACCACAATGATAGATTCATCGCGACCACGAGACAGATATGATCATACATAATGCTCATGTCGGCGAGCATCAGCAGTGATGGCGGGGGTTGCTGCTGGCATTCCTGCTGAAGAGCTGACCTCTGGGGAGCCGCCCCCGTCGCTCGCTCCACTTGCAGTGAAGCTGGTCACCTGGACGGAAATCTCGTCCATGCTGGGCACCGATAGCCGGGACCTGCCACCCCCCAATACATGTCGCCCTCGTGTCGCTTTGTGCGCGAGGCTTGCTGCTCCTAGCTGCTGCTAATGCTGCTGCTACCTCCCCAGCTTCTTCCTACTGCAGTCGGACCTAGTATAGAAGAGCATCCCACAATAACATGATACCCTCCGCCAGCAACAACACACAGAACATCCAAGGGTACCATCCACAGGGTGCACAAGAACATCCAACACGTACGAAGAACATTCGGGTACCCTCCCCGAACCGACCTCGCTCTTGTGCCTCGTTCCGACTGTACTGCTCCTGGGCGGAGCGTTGGCAAAGCAAAATAAACGAGAACAGTCTCGGGTGCGGAGTGGGTCCAGAGAAGACGCAGGGCGGCGAGGTCAGTTTTCTTCGCGGAAGTACATACGAACGCTACATCTGGGCGTATGCCCCGCAGAGTGGGATTCAGGCCGCCTGGATGACGATTGAATGCGTTCGCCTCCTGGGACCTCTGACACCACTGTTAAATAGAGGCGCGTTTTCTGAAATGCGTCGTGCGCGCCCTCCGAGTCTGGCTTAGAATAGCATGAAGTTACTTTCGCCCTGATTGAGGAAAAGCAAGTGCACATGGGAACTACACTCGGACCTGCTCCTTCTCAACCTTCCTTTTCCTCCGCTGGATTTTGCGCGGCCCCTCCTGTGCTTGGGGCGCTTACTTACGAAGGTGACACCGAATCGCAGGTTGCTCATTCGACGACGTGGGCCCACATCTCCAACACCGCGCGATGCGCTCCGCCTCGCGCGAGCTCCGCTCTCGATACATCGGGTGCGCCGAGGAGGAGGAGGAGGCCAGGAAGAGGGGGGGGTGCGTGCGCATCGTTCGGGGAACGAGCAATGACATAAACATAAAACTCGGAGGTCCGCGCGGAATTCTCGGATCGGCGCTGGACCACCCTGGCGGCCCCTCCGGCGCCGCCCCTGGCGCGATCCGCTCTTGCGACACGCGGCGGGGGACCACAAGATCCCCCCGCCCCCCACGGGAGGAGGAGGAGGAGGAGGAGGAGGAGGAGGAGGAGGGAGGAGGAGGAGGAGGAGGAGGAGGAGGAGGAGGAGGAGGAGGAGGAGGAGGAGGAGGAGGAGGAGGAGGAGGAGGAGGAGGAGGAGGGGGAGGAGGAGGAGGGAGGAGGGGGACTTTTGTTGCACGGCACCCTGCGGCGGCGGCCCCCGCGGCACGCCACGCCCTGCTGGCGGACAGCGCGCTGCGCGCTCCGCTCCGCGGGGCGCGCGGCTTTCAGAACGGCTCGGGACGGTCAGTGCGCCGGGGGGCTGGCCATCGCTCGGACGTCCATTCCCTGTGTTTTTGTTTCGGTTTCGTGCGTGCTTTTCTCGCCAAATGATCAAGGATGCTCCTCGATGGTCCCCGCCGAAGGAAAAATGCACACGTCCGAGCGATGCCAAGGGGATCGACTTCCCAGAGATCCGACGTTCCAGCACTCAAAAATGTTGCCACCTCTCGGGGACGCATTCTGAACCTCGGCTGGCTTCAGCCGGCGGAGCTGCCCTCGTGTGACTTTCGCGGGCTTCCGTCGCCTTCCGCCGAGGAAGAGATGACGAGTCCCTGGGCCCTCGACGGCGAGGCCCTTTGAAGGGCGCCCCACGCGCATAGCGTGTCGCGCCGAGGCGAGGTGGGCCAGAACCGGCACACACACAAACACCCACAGCAAGAATCCGAAACACCGAACTGGAGCTACTGCTGCTACTGCTAATGTACACCGCTAAAGGTGCAGCGGAAGGGGGGAGAGAGAGAGAGAGAGAGAGAGAGAGAGAACAAAAAAAAAAATAGAGAGAGAGAGAGAGAGAAACAAAAAAAACAGAGCAGAGAGACAGTGCAAGCCATGTCAATCCTCCTGGGCGGCGCCCGCGATCGGAAGCCCCCCCAAGAGCTTCCAACTCGTGTCTCGTGTGGACTTGGCGCCGTGGGCTGCTTTCCCGGAGCATGACCCTGGATGGGGGGGTTCGCCAAGGAAGAGAGCGCGGCATGAGCATGTACACTTTCGGAGGTCCGCGCTGATTTCTCTCGGTTCGACGCTGGACCCCGCTCCCTGGCGCCGATCCAGGCAACCAGCGCAGAACTCCGAGCGTCCGTGCTGTTGCCATGCTAGAAGTCCGCTCCTCGAAACAGGGGGGTGTTGCTAGGCGTGCTCCTGGCCCCCCCCCCCCCCCAGGATTTCCAAAGGGGCCCCCGCGGCCTCCAGAGCAACCCCCCCTCGAGGCCCAGGGGGGCCCAGGGCCTCTACCACGGAGCGAAGAGCTGGGGGCACCCTGGGCAAGGGGCGCCCCTGGCCTTCAGCAGCCCCCGAGCCATGCTCCCCGGAAGGTGTGTTCGACCTTGGGCATGCGCAGGACGCCGCCCCCGCGTCGCCGCCGCGCGCCCAGGAGGCATGAGGTTGCCGCATCGATGGTACAGCCCCCCCTCGGAATCGAACGCACGTTTCTTTTGCATGTTGATCGGCGCGCCAAGCGCGGCCCGCGGGGTCAGAATTCTGTGCTTGCAGTCGCCACGTTCGGCGCGAACCTTGACATGTGGGGGTCCTGGGGCGCCGCCACGTCGCGAGGAAGGCTGCAGTTCGACTTCGAGGAGACTTGTATGCTGGAGCGGCGAAAAGCCTCGACCCTGGTCCAACTTTCCTCTCCCCGCTTTCATCTAAAAGGCAAACGAACCTACCTCGCTTATGACCATCCCCTCGCTTCCAAACGAGAGCCAAGCGATGCCGAGCTACCCGTGAGGTGGTTCGCAGAGGTCAGGCTGCCTGAAGAAGGAGACGCGTGGTGACGTGTATTTAAATGGGAGCGAACGCGGGATAAGTAATTCACCCTCTGATCCTGCACGTCCTCCTCTGGGCAGTCTGCCGGTCCAAGGGCGTATTACATCAGCCGAGAAAGCGACATATCGGCCTATATTGGCACTCGCCGTCTTCATCGTCGCCGTCGTCGTCGTCGTCGTTCTCGTCGTCGCCGTCGCCGTCGCCGTCGCCGTCGTCGTCGTCGTTCTCTTGATCCTGCTCCTGCAAGATATTGCTCTTCCCCCATCCGCCTCCTCGGCCTCTCCTCCCCTCCAGCCCCCCCCCCTTCCCCCAGCGTCCCTCGCCCATGCCCCTCCTCCTCACCCTCTCCCCCATGCCTGTTCCCCCCGCCCGCCTCTTCACCCCGAAACAGAAGGCCCCACCACCCCCTTTCCCCACCCGGGCGGCGGCGCGCTCGTGGCAGCTGCCCCCAGCGCATGCGCCACTAGCGGCGCCTCCTGGGGGGCGAAGCCCGCGCGGGGCTGCAGCAGTGGCTGCATGCCTGGCTGGCCGCGAGAGCGACGGGGGCCCCTCCTCTCCTCCTCGCTTCCGTCCCTATAGGTCTACCACGGAATTTTCTTATAACCCAACAGTGCTCTTATGACAAAAACGATGTTCTTAAAACAGTAAGCCGATGTGTTCACACACGGCAGCCCCAGCCAGACAAGTTCTAGCACCACGTCGTGCAAAACCGCAAAAAGGCTCTTAGAAAAGTCTTGTGTGGGCCTTTGGGCAAGGCAGGACGCCCCGCCACTGCTTGATTCTGCTCCCTTCTCTGCACCCAACCTCGAGCACCCCACCCCGATCCACGCCGGACATCGTCGAGGCGGCCCACGCGGACTGCAGCGCAGCCCCTACCGGCTCCCCCGACACAATCTCGCCATCGCTTGGACGTTCATTCCCTGTGCATTTGTCGGTTTCGTGCGTATTTTTTTCGCAGCGTGAACAAAAATGTTCCTCGTTGGCCCTTGCCGATAAAAAACTGCACACGTCCGATCGATGCCAAGCAATCAGCCACACCCCGGGGCACGAGAGGACCTGCGCACGAGAGGGTTCGCGGACTGCGCCCCGAGGGCCAGCTCCGCCGCCCCAACCCGCTGGGATGGCCAGGGCGGTCGCACACCCAGCCCCCCAACGCAATGCCTCCTGCCACCAGGCAAACCTCCCTCCCCACCAAAGACAGGGGGCCAAGGTCCTCAGTACCAGGGCGTAGGCACCCAATGATTCCAGATCAGCGAACCCATCGCAGGCGTGCCGTCACGCACTGCCCCACTACGGCCAGGCCGGAGCCACGCCAGGATCGCGAAGCCGTGCTTACCACAAGCATCGCGGCGCTGCAACAACGAGCCTCCCGCCTCGCTCTCACGCTGCGTAGCCTCCAGGACTCGCCTTCGCTCGGACGTCCCTTCCCTGCTCATTGTTCGGTCTCGTGCGTGTTTTTTTTTCTCGCAAGGTGAGCAACATGCTCCTCGATGGTCCTTGCCGAGAACAAATGCACACGTTCGAGCGATGCCAGAGAGGAGCACGCCAGACCCCTTCACGACGAGGTCCCGAGGAGCACAACCCCGCCCCGCCCCAAGGAACGAGCTCTCCACCCGGCCCTCCGCACGCCTGCGCTCCCCAGGGCCCCTCTCTCTCTCTCTCTCTCTCTCTCTCTCTCTCTCTGGGAAGATCGCCGAGCGCGACGTGCAGCGTACCGCCAGCGCACCAGGCGCTAGCCGCAAGTCGGGTCCGTCCCACCACAAGGGGATTTTGGAAGAAAAATAAAAAAATACCCCCCCAAATAGCCCCACATGGCCAAAACATGCTCAAAAGAAGCGTCCCCAGACTATTTTTTGACTATCCTGGAATATCCCCCCCCCTGTAGAGGGACGGGCCCGACTTGGTGCGAGCCTCCTCCATTCTCCCAGGCGCGAGCAACTCGAGACAAACACCGCTCGGCGGCGGCAGGCGCACCGCGTTCGCAGAGGTGGCCGCCACAGGCTGTGCGCCACACGCATCTCACCCACCACTGCCAGGTGCCAGGACACCGAGCACCTGTCTCAAGAGCAGGTGCCAGGCCAGGAGACAGGACACCGAAGGCCAGGTGCCGGGGGGTGACCCCCCCCCCACGCGCCTCGGGCGCGCGCGCGTAGCTTCGGCCGCGCGGACGGCTGCGTCCAACTGGACATCGAGCCGATAGCGATAGCGATAGCAACGACCTGTCTCAAGAGTGGGAGAGCCCAAGGGCCCCATCCGACTCCAAAGGGCTATGCCTATCCGTCAAGGCATCAACGCTACGCTGCAGTCCTCCGTTCTCTCTTTCGCTCCCTGCGAGAGCACCCGGCAAGATGCCCCGTGGGCCCGTCCCCAGGCCGCCGAGGGGGGGGGGATGCCCCAAGGCGGCGCCTCATCGAATCTCTCAGGCTCCGTGGTGTGTACGCCTCCAGGCGCGTTCAAAGCCGGAGCCTCTCTCTTCAGGGGGGTGCAGAGGGGGCGAGCGCTGCTCTTTATCGCCACATCTCGCTTCCTCTTCACAGCCGGGGTCTTTTTGTTTGCCGCTCCTGCGACTCACGCGCGGCACTTCCCGCCCGAAGAGGTGGGCGCAGCGGGCGCTGGCACCACGCGTGCCCAGCCAGACCTCGGCCCGCCCTCTTCGGTGCGCTCTCCTCTGTTTTCCTCTCTCCACCTCTCTCCTCCTCCTCCTCCTCCTCCTCCTCCTCTCCTCCTCCTCCTCCTCTTCTTTCTCCTCCTCCTCCTCCTCCTCCTCCTGCTCTTCCTCCTCTTCCCCCTCCTCCTCCTCCTCCTCCTCCTCCGTCTCCTTTTCCTCCTCCTCCTCCTCCTCTTCCTCCTCCTCCTTCTCCTCTCGTCCTTCCCCTTCCTCTTCTTATTATTCTTCCTCCTCCTCCTCCTCCTCCTCCCTAGCGTCCTCTCCTGCTCCTCCTCGTCTTTGTCCCGCTTGCCCTCCGCCCGTCGTCTTTCCTCTCCATTCCGCTTCCCCTCCGCCCGCCTCTCTTCCTCCCTTTCCATCCGCCTCCCGTCCAACTCCCTCGTCTTCAGCCTCCCATCCTCCCTTCACTCTTCCGCCATCGGAACACACCTGGAACGAACCGTGCCACGCATGCCTGCGCGCGGCCCTGGACAGCAACGTGCGTTGTGCGCGCACCTTTCTCGGACCGGAGCACTCCCCCTCTTCTCCTCCCACCTTCGTCACGTGAGCGTTTTCTCATTTGGCTTTTCGACATGGGGCAGAAAAGGGGGAGGCGGGGGGGGGTCCGGCTCCGGATCTATGCTTAGTGCGACTGTTTGCAGCCGCGCGTCCTATGGAGGAGGCTCCATCTGCCTGAAACAGGCGCCAAAAACAGCCAAGATCCATTTCGTGAGGGGTAAGGGGGGGGAGGGGGGGGGTGCCCGCGCCGATCGGCAAAACAACGAATAAGAAAACGACCACCACCTCGTCTCCAACCTCCTCCCCGCGTCTCAAGCCACTTTGGCCGAAGCATGTTGCCTGGGCAGAGGGCGTCTGCCTTTACGTCTACATGGTGTTTGAGGGGCACCTGCCGTTGTCCGTTCACTGTGCGATCTTCTGTACCTGCTTTCTAAGATCAGAACTGTCTCGGACCACCTAGGCTGGTCGGCGAAGGAGACGCAATCAGACAGGGCACGGGGCAAGAAGAATATTACCACTCCTGCAAGCATCCAAGGACAACAAACAACCGATCCTTGGACCAAGTGCGGGAGATGCGGATGGAAAACAATGTTGGAGAGCAACCAATGTATATGCCAAGGATGCGGGGCATGGGTCAGTCTTTCCCAGCCAACCAGCAAGGCCCCGAAGTCCGCGCAGTCATCTTTGGTAGGCACTGTGGTCGAAGGTCGCACCACGGGCGAAGCCAAACACGTGGAGCTCTCCGGCGCGGGCGAGGCGGCTCTCAAAGTTGCAGTGGAACGCGCAGTGAAACCAGTTTTAGAGCAGCATTCGGCTGAGGCGAAGAAGCTTTCGCCTTTCGCCTCAGGCCGCAACAGCAAGTTCGAGTGCAGACGAAGCTTTGCGGCGCGCCGCTGGGGCATGTCGAGACGCGAACACCAAACACGACCAGACCGTGGCTCGAGACCTGTGGCGCCGTGGCAGCTCAGCCAACGCCGAGGCACGAGAGCAGCATCTTTGACTCCAGCGGAAGCCGAGCCTGCCCGGAGGCATGCCGCGGACGCGCCGGCTCGCGAGGTCGGCGGCGGCACCGCCGACAAGCCCGAGCAGGTCGACCTCGGCAGCGAGGAGGAGACCATCCCAAGAAGCCGACCTCTGTACACCGACGCTTTTTCCGGCCCCGCACTGAGATGCGCACAGGAAGGCGGATCTTGGTGTATACGGATCCTGGTGTGTGCATGTGTTGATGCTTTTCCCCCGGGAAGTGGGAAACAATTAAACACCACACCACCCCGACGTCGTCCCCGACCCTCAAGAAGCCGTGGGATTGAAGCGAAACCCGCCACTGGTGATGTATATGTTCCACTTTCCGACATCGAACTTCAGTGGGACGAGACTTTCGTCACTACGCTGCGCAGCATGGAGTGCGGGCAGAGCGGGCTCGACAAGTTGGCCAACGTCGAGAGCGAGCTGAAGCAGGCAAGGCAGACCTCGGCCATCCGATCGCCGGAGATCGCGAAGGGGAAGGCCGAGACGATGGCCACTCGGGAGAATGCGAAGGCGCACGTGGCGAAGAAGAGGCGCACCGACGCGGACGGCGAGAAGGGCGACGATGCAGCTGGCGGTGGCGGAGGCAACGGCGAGGAGGCTGCAGCGCCGGCTTCGCCATCCAGGCTCACGCCAGAGGGCATCGTCAACGAGGCGGCGCGCGCCTCCGCGGCCAGGCTCGCGGCGGCAGCGGCGGCGGCAGCGGCGGCACCACGGGCAGGGGCGGGTGCTAGAGCGCCGTCGATGCGCGGCGGGAGCGCCGCCGACGTGAGGCGACGAGGCTCGCCGCGCCGAGGCATCATCGCAGAGCCAGGCTCTGGGTGCCGAAGCGTCGCCAGCCACAGCTGCTGCCACTCAGTCTGAATGCGAACTTTATCGATCATTCCTTGCTAGTGTCACGGCTTTGGGGGCACAGAAATGGCATTACTTGCGCATGCAGCCCGGCGGCAGTACTATCAAAACATGGGGATCGTGGAATCACATGTGCGAGCGCTTACTCGAGATGAGATGGCGCGTAAAAGGTAATAGTATATGTGCGCAATGTTCCGACAACTGTGTCCGACAGCGTGGGTGTAGAAGTGGAGTTGCTGGTATGCCCAGTCGAACGAACGAGGGCAACTCGCTCTGGACATGGGCATAGACATATTCATATTCAGATGTTCACTGGTGGGGAAAAGAACTACCTCACCATTGTGCTAACAGTACTGAGCAGCTGGATGACTTCATGCCCGTCGTCATTCATAAACAAGGCTTCGCTTCTATAGCCGTCTTGTTCTACGG